CAGAGAATCGGATGTGGGTTTGATCCTGGTTGCACAGAAACTGCCAGCTCTGGGCAGTCAATTGGCTGGAGCTGTTATTGTGAAATGAACACAAAAACGGGATTGCAAGCGTGTGTTAGGACAGTTCCCCCTCTACCAGAATAGGGTGCCCTTGTGCTTGACCACCCCATTCCTTTGTTCCAGTTAATTCTGTGCACCTTCTCAGAGCACACCATGTCCTACTGTCCAGAGCCCGTTTGCTTGCTACTTGCTGCACGTTGTGTTACATGAGATCTGTCTCTCGTTAATTTGCCTCTCACGACTCTCTCACAGGGAGCCGAGAAACGGCTTTCACCTACGCCGTCAGTGCTGCTGGGGTGGTGAACGCCATCAGCCGGGCCTGCCGTGAAGGAGAGCTCTCCAGCTGTGGCTGCAGCCGGACAGCCCGGCCCAAGGACTTGCCCCGAGACTGGCTGTGGGGTGGCTGCGGGGATAACGTGGAGTACGGATATCGTTTTGCCAAGGAGTTTGTGGATGCCAAGGAGCGGGAGAAGAACTATGTGAGAGGTTCAGAGGAGCAGGCTCGCATGTTGATGAACTTGCAGAACAACGAGGCTGGTCGCAGGGTAAGACAAATGCTGACGCTTTCGTCTTTCTCGGAGGCAGATTTAGAAGGCTTGAGATAGCTAGATACCAAATTGCTTGGAGATTTGATGACGGATAGCCCAGTGATACCCCAGTAACCATGTATGGTCACGTTTTCTGCGTTTTTGTGAATGTTACAGGCAATATTGATGATATTATATTCCAGTTTTAATGGCAGGCTTCCGTTGCCAGCTAAAGTCAGTGAGTTTTTGGGTCTGTTGAGATACTGTATGGCACACGTGTGCAGACATGTAAGCCCTTTCCAAATAAACTAGGTGCTGTCACGGGCCACTTTCAAAGTTTACATCTCAGAAACTGGCTTCCCAGAGCTGCCAGTGTGACAGGCTGGTGGAGAAAAGAAGAATCTGTTGGCATGTGAGTTCTCTTCTACTGCCATCACTCAGATTTTTGGGAGTGTAAGGTCAGAAGCAAAAGCTGAATCAGGCTGCCTGGCCATCTCTGAAACTTACACCTCGCTCAATTACCTTGGTATTGGGCAAAATAAGTAATTTGCATCTAGGTGACATTCATTTTCTGAGAAGATACACAGTTTTGATCTGGAGACCTCTAGGGATGGAGAATTCATCACTTCCCTTTGTAGTATGCTACCATCATTAATCATCCTGTTTCAATAATGTACCTCATTATCATTTGAATTTATCTGGCGTCAGCTTCCAATCAGTTATTTTTCTGACTTTTACAGCTAGATCCAAAAGCCTCTTAGTAATCAAAATTTCCTCTGCATAGAATTATTTATCTTCTGTAATTTATTCAGCACTCTTCCTTGACAAACTAGATTGAGCAGTGAAGACTCTCTTACTTTCAGAGGTTCTCATTAGACATCAAGTCATTTTCATGTCACTTTAGTGTACCCTTGCCAGTTTTTCCATATCCTTTAAGAAACTGGATACCAAAATGACATGCTGAGTTCTGGTATTGGTTTCGCTGATGCATAAATGTAGGCAAAGTTGCTGGCTTTGTATGCATTCAGTGTATGCACATTTGCTTTTTACATAATTTCTCTGTCTGTGGTTAATAGCCTGGAAGGTGTAGTTGTAGTATCATTCCTATGCAGTATAACTATGTAATCCTGCCTCTTTCCAAATGTAGAACAGGAATACTTACTTGAACATTTGTGCCTTTTCCACAGGGTGTTTAAAATTTGTATCATTCTTCCCTAGTAAGGAGCTTTTCTAAGGTTAATTTCATTCTAAGGAATATAAAAAAATCATATTAAGTGTACTTAGCCTTGCTCTTTTGCACATTCTTAACTAGTATCCTTAGTTTCCTTATCAATTTTCTGCCCTTCCTTCTAACTGTTACTGCATGATGTTTCCCATGTATGTTTGTCTTTTCTACATGTCATTTTGGCTTCATTTTGCCACCAAAGAAGATTTGCTCTATTTTTTTGATTGAAATCAACGTGACAGGCTGAAGCATTGAAAATACTCCATGGTTCTTTTGGAAAATCAAATTGGGGTAAATTTGCAGTAGGTGGAAAACTGTGGACTTGAAAGCTGTAGAATTCAGTGGGTTTTGGGTTGGGGCTGTGGTTTTTTGGCTTGGAAGGGCAGAGGGTGTGCATTTGCTTAGAAATGGGCGGGGGGGGGCATTCCTCCAGGGAGTAGTAGCTTGAAAGTGACATTCTTCTCTGCATTACTTCCTTTGAAAATCTTTTATGTCTGGAGTCATGAACTTAGATTACTACAAATAAATACCCTGCCTAAAATAAGAAGTGAATATGTTCTGAGACTTTTAAACAGCCAGTCCTATTGCCTTGAGGGATCCAGAGACAAAAAACGGTCAATAGTTTGAGGTACCAGTTGAACTGTAATAAAATCTGTATTAGAAGATGAAGTGAGAAGATACTTGCTCTACAGCATGGCTAAAACTACCCTGTCTTGTTGTTCGTGTTATATGGGCAAGAATCTCACTGAGCTGTGATTTCAGATGATGATATGGTTTTAGATGGAAGGAAAGCTTTGTCCTGCTTTAAGGACAGAGCTAAAAACAGTTACGTCTTGCTTTTACTACAGTGCAGAAAGTTGTTTGAATTGTGCTTGGAATGCCACAGTGCCCGTGCTTCTTCGGACTCCATAGACAAGCTCTCAAGGCGATTTCTGTGTCTCCAGTTAACACAGGACCTGGACGAAAGCTTTCCAAAGGGGCCAGCAAAAGACAATGTTATTTCAAGCTTGGTTTTTGTAGACTCTGTGGAACAGATGGCCATAGAAAATAACTTAGATTAAATGAACACAAGTCATTTTAGATTAAATTAAATGGGAGTATAAACCAGTGTGTAATTAAGCTTGTAGATTTCAAAGAACAAACTTGGATAAAGTAAGGGAGCCTGTTAGTAAACTCAGCCGAGCAACTCGATGTGGAGGAGGTCTGGAACTTTTTCAAGTCAAAGATGCTAAAGCCATTACAATTCTGCATGGCAAGCAAGAGGAAAAAGCTTGTAGGAAGAATATCCAGACCTTACTGAATGACTAAGTATCACAGAGATGCTGTTAGGAATAGACCAAGAGCCTACTAAGAATGAGGAAAAAAAAGAACTGATAGCAAATAAATAATGAAAAGCTCTGTCTTAGAGGTCAAGGAGTGTAAAGATGAATTGAGAACAAAAAATCATGCTGAGTCAGACCTTGCAAAGGGTAGTAAAATAAACAGCAAAATTTTTTTAAACTTTGCACGTTGGAGGAGATTAGAAGAAAGGAGACTGCTAGTCAGTGAGGATGGGGCTGAGTCTAAAGACAGAATAGTTTTGGTTCCCAAAGTGAGTGAGTACTTTACTTTGTGTGGGGCTTCAAGTTGGAATGGGGGGCATTGCTCACCGGGAGGGGTACCGTATGTCCGCCGCACAACCGAGGTGTCTTTTTCTGTCCTCAGCACTTCTGCCTAGGGGAATAAGTGCTTGTAGTGTAGATTTTTAAAAGCACCCTGGGAGTGTGCTTTTTGGGGGAAGCCAGGCAGGGTGCCCTAGGGGCAGGCAAGGTCTGTCACAGTAGGCAGTGGCTGATGGTGCGGGCACCCTGTGGGAGTGAGGAAGGGAGAGGAGGCAGCTGGCGTGTTCAGACTGGTAGAGGAAGAGGAGCTGAGCAGCAAGTACTGAGTTTTGGGGCTAGCAGACCTGAGATGGGGGGGGATGGTGCAGGGGGCCGCTGATGGAGGGATGCTTGGGGTCGGGTCAAATGATTCAGATGGGAGTCAACTGGCAGCAAAGGGCTGGAAGAACGGAGGGCTGTGGAGCAACTGAGAGTGGGGCTTTGGGTGGATTGAGTGGATGAGGATTTGGGGGTAGTGAGGAACGGAGATGCTGGGACTGGGAAAGGAGGTGAATATGAAAGGATCTGGGTAGAGATGAGACCTGGGGTGGCTCTGGGATGGCACTGCTACAGGTTCCAGGGTTATCTGGTCAGGGTGGTTATTTGGCCAGTGCAGGGCAGCCTTTCCTCTTGTCTCTCAGAAATATATTAGCATGGGAGCAAAGGAGAAAGGCTGGAAATGGAAATTATCGCAACCAAGGTGTTGAAGAGCAAAACCCAGGTAGCGTGAAGCTCCCAAGTCCCAGGGAGTGGCCACTTTCTTTCCTGGCACTCTGAAAGAGCTGGCACCTGGCAGCACAGGCAGTGTGACCTTGGCAGCGTTTACAGGAGGACCTGGGGGAAAGGATATCTCAGAGGAAGAGGAGAAATGGGAAATAATTTGAGAAGAATTTCTCAAAGATAGATCACACAATCATTTAGAGCATCACTGGTTCCCTAAAAAGCAAAATCTGTTAGGTCTCATTTATCTGAACTTCTGTGAGACATTTAATCTATTTCCTACATGGGAAACACTTGGTTAAATTGGGAAAGATAAGGAAAAATGCAGCAGCTACGAGGTGGGCAAGAAACTGGTTCAAGGAAAGATGTCAGTAAGTTGTGTGAAAAGATGTATCTTGATCTTGACAGAGCTTAATTAGCAGAGTTCTTCACGGACTTGCCTCAAGACCAACACTTAGTATTTTTGTTTCTCGGCCTGAACACAAGAATTAGGAATGAGCTGATGAAATTTGCTGCTGAGGCAAAGGTGGCAGGTATTATGAATACAGAGGAGAATCTGCATTTTGTACAGCAGCTAATGACATCCAATAAAACTACATTAAGACCATCATCTGAGGTCTTGTATGAAAAACATTTTAGTCATTAGGAAATGAGTAGAAAAGAACTGGGCGCAGCAGTCAGCTGCAAATGACTGCAGATGTAATGTGGCTCAGAAGGTGGTAAATATCCTATAATGTACTAGGGAAAGTCTTTTCATAAAACATGAGGGAATACTAATGCCATTGTATTAAGCCCTCGTGAGGCCCCAAAATATTGTATGTTCTCATATTCCCAGGCAAAATGACCTCAGACTAGAAAAGGCTTGTTATGGTTGACCCAAGGGATAGGAATCTTTTCTTAAGAAAGGGGGCTAGAATAGCTTGCCATGTTTAGCCTAGCAAAGTGAAAGTTGAGAGAGGATATGACTGATGTCTGTGTTAGTGGGAGAAATAATAGGGGAGGAAAAGTACTTTTAAAGCAAAACGCCAATTTGGCACAATAGCAAATGGGCATAAAGTGAACACGTTTAGGCTGGAAATTAGAAAAAGATACTTTATCATTGGAATAGTGATCAGAATAATGGTGGCTGAAAACCTAATTGCTTTTTAAAGGGCACTCTATACATTTAAGGAAAATACTATTTGAAGCGGTGCCTACAATAGCAAGAGATCATACTTAATAACTGAGGAGGTCCCATCTAGTCCTGCATTCCTAAATGTTAAGTTTTCACTTCTGAGATTCTGGGTTTGGAAGTAGGAAGGTGCGCGTGTAACTCCATACTCCTGAAAGTTGGTGCTGAAAGAAAGGAGTACTGGAGACACGGCAGTGAGCATTGCTAAGTGACCGCCAGGTGCCATCCCATATACGGCCTTGCCCTGCGTTCCCAGCCGGTGTTTCAGCTGATGTCTTCTGATTTCTAGGTAGATTTTTGGCATGTCCCCTCACTCAGTTTCCTGTGGGTGAGAAAGTTCTTCTTGAACCCTGTGGAGCTCTGATGGCAGGAGAGAAGAGTGCCCCTGCTCTCTGTGGTTCTTAGAAGGAACTGGGAGGGATGGGAGGGGACCAGAGGTCTTTTATCTTTCAGGCAGTCCTGACCCCATCACCCCTTCACTCCACATCGGAGCCCTTGTGGTGGTGGCTTCTTGCTTTATTGCCCTTGTTTGTTTGTCTTTGGCTGTTATCTCAATATGTCCTTTCTTTCCATCTGTCTTTTTCTTCCAATTGGTCTCCATTACTCTCTCTCATTTCCCCCCCTTCCTTATCTGTCGCCCTGTCTGGCAGACTGTGGCGGTCTGTCCTTCCATGCTGTTTACCCAGTCGGCATATGGCAGGCCTCAGTCATCAGTCACTCGAGCCACTGCCAGAAGAGCCTGGAAGGGAGTCTGGCTAATTGACCACATAAGAATTCCCCATTAATTCTCTTCCCATTCCCATTCTTGCAAGGAAAGAATTGGAAGAGAACTTGGGCTTATGGGAAGGGGCTTTAAGCCTTTCCATTAGAGGTGTTTTCAACCTGTTTAAGTGGCATAGCCATCGATCAGACTCTGCCCTTAGAACTCCATGTGGGGTCTGTTATTCTTTACCTTGACCCGAGCCTGGCTAGAGAGGAATTCTCCAATTTCCTCTGCTTTCTCCCCATCCGGGCAGCAAAGAGGGAGAGTGGGAGAGCCATTTAGCAGCTGAAGCTTTGGTTACCTCCATGGGACATTGATAGTGGGAGCTGCGGGGGGCTGAGTGGCGCCGTGCTTTACCTGTGATAACTGGTAGCGTTCGCATTCCCCAGCACAGCTACTACCCACATGGGCCAGATGTTTTGAGCATCAGTTGCTTAAAGCCAAGTCAGAGTGAACTCAGTCCCTTGACATTAACTGAGAGGGATCGAGTTGCAGTGTTTTTCTAAAGGAACAAAGCCCGGGATTAGGAAGAATCATAATACTTTATAAAAACACATGCAAGGGCAAGGGAGGCACAAGTGGCCTGGGATTTGACAGAACCATAACCAAAAAGTGCTAACACAAGCTTATAACAAGCAGGCTGGCGATGCAGCGAGGATATAGTAAGTGTCTGGGGCTCGGGAAATTCAGCTGTAGCTCTGTCTGGTTATAGTACAGAAGGAATCCTTAAGTAACGGTGTGGTTGGTCCTCCGCAGTTGTAGTTTGATCCAAGACAAGTGCTTAACTCCCAGCCTGTAGCTGTTATGTTGCGCCGTGAGGGACTGCCTCAGTAAATTGAGCTCCGAGGAGCAGAACTAAAGCTTCTCTGTTTTAAGGACTCACTCCATTGACTTTCTTGGGAGCTGGACTGGCCTCCATGTGATTTAGTCATTACGCCAAATTGAATCTTCACTAGCTGTCAAAAGCACTAGACGTTAGTTAGACCAGGAGCAACCAGTTGTTGTAGAACTCTGACCTCTCACTGCTGGTCCAGGACATAGTCGTAGGCAGAAAGTTTTGCTTGCAGTATGTTCAATTGCCTTGTTCACCTACTCCTCAGCAAGTACATGCAGAAAGCTGGGGAGCTTTCTTCTGTGTCGATGAGTGAGGCAGAAAAGAAACCTCAGTGTCTGGCTGCTTTCTTCAGCAGAAAAGCTGGCTAGAAGACACATTGCCATCTCCTTCAGAACATACTAATTTTTTCTCCTGTTCCTTGATCTCCCACACCAGATACAGCTAGCGGTAATTTTGCAGCTGATGCCAAACAGCTCTGTTTGGCACGCAGGGTCTGGCAGGGGCACTGCCCCGCCAACGTGCAGGACGCAGGATAGTCATGGGAGAGCACACGTGAGCCTGGTGGTGAGAGCATGAGGAGCAAGGCAAGGGCTGGGGGAGTAAGCTGCTGTAACACGGAGCAGCTCTGATTGTGGGGGGATGCCAACTCTTCGCTTTGCAATCTCTTGTCAGAGCCTGCGTTGACAGGATCTCGTGTAGCATGCAGTTTCCTACCTGTCTCTGAAGTTAATGAAAAGAACAAAGCTAACCTGCTTTTTCAGTTTATTTTGAGCATTGTTATTCTAGAATATCTTTCAATATTTCCCAGCTAGTGCAGGGAGGGGGAGAGTAACCGCTGTCATCCTTCACACTGTTGTGTACTTGCTCCGCTCAGGGTTTAACACTCACTGGCCTGGATTTTCACGACTATTTGTTAATCTTGACGCCGGATTTTCAGGGGTACGATGCATCTACAGTCCCCGCAGACTCCTGAAAACGTAGCTGAAAGTATCTCGGAAAAGACAGCAGGGAAAGCGGGCGTTTGCCGTTTAAAACGTAGGCCCTTCTGCGTGGCGGCAGCCCTGTTAGCGCAGGGAAAGGGCTGGACACAAGATGGCGCAGGTTTGCGGTCAGGGCTTGTGTCTCGGCCCGGCTCCTCAAGGAGGGCGCCTGGAGACACCTCGAGCAGGGGTGAGGTGCCCTGCCCTAAGGCAGAGGTGTTCATCTTTCTCGTCACCCCTGGCACCCTCTCTGGAAGCAGTGACTCTGCCCCGGAACGAGCTCCTCTCAGCAGAGGGCGGAGGGAAAGGGTGTGGGTCCCGGGATTTATTTCAAAAGGATGCAGATGGATGCATCCCTACAATGATAGCGTCGGTTCCTGGTGCAGGGAGTAGGAAACGGGCAGGTTCCCAGGTGTTCCCTTGTCGCAGCTCTGAAGGGAAAAACATGCATTACCCCGGTGGACCGTGAGACTGGGGGAATTTCCAGTGTCCACGCGGCAAGGACTCTTTCTCTTTTCCTTTGCTGCTCTCAAGTCAGAAATCTGCCAGGGCAAAAGCAGGTAGGGTGGGGAAGACAATGGCAGAGGCAATGTGACCAGAAATAAACATATTTATGGAACAGGAATGCAGCAGTCACAACCGGAGGAAGAGGAGACTTTTGTCTCTTCTGAAGGGCGAAACAAGAGAAATTGGGGGATAATCAAAGCGGTTATGAAAGCGTGATGAATTCACTGTAATTAAGCCAGCTGCCAGTGC